TGTAAGGGCCTTGCCAGCCCCCCAGCTGCTGATCTGCCCCCTCTCTCCTACTCCTGTGAAGTGGTAAGGAAGAGTCTGGGCCGGGGAGCTGGCTGGCTGTCAGAGGATGAGGACTCTCCACTGGATGCTCTGGACCTTGTGTGGGCCAAATGCCGAGGGTATCCATCATATCCAGCTCTGGTAGGATTCTGTTTCTCTTGTCATACCCCTTGCTTTCCAACCCCACAACACAGACTCACAACTAGCAGACTTTTCCTACATCCTGCTGAGCTATGGTGCACAAGACTCCTTAGACTGATGGACAGGTGCAGCTTGAGTACCCATTAGAGGCCCCCAGTCAGTTTCTCCATCTTTACCTTTCCCTTCTTTTTGCCCCTTGGGCTCTGAAATAATTCAGCACAGGAAGAAGCCAAGGGTTAGCACTGCTGCCCTAGTAGCATTATAACTTTTTTCTGTCCTCACTTCAGATGTAGTCTCCGAATTCTTGGGTGGGGCAAGCCTTGGAGAGGAAGTGGACCAAACTGGGCTCTTATTATACCCTCAGATCATTGATCCAAAGATGCCCCGAGAAGGTATGTTCCACCATGGGGTTCCCATTCCTGTGCCCCCACTAGAGGTGCTGAAACTTGGGGAGCAGATGACCCAGGAAGCCCGAGAGCATCTCTACCTCGTCCTCTTCTTTGACAACAAACGAACGTGGTAAGGAAGGAGGGAAGCATTTGGTGTGACTCACAGCCACAGATGCAACCCTGTGTGGTATGGGGGCAGACAGCCAGGAAACTCCAGCAATAGACAGGCTGGGCTATCACAAATCAGTGGGGGAGGGACTTTGGACAGATCTTTCTGCAAAAGGATGGTGTTTACCATGAGTCTGAGAGGCTGAGTAGGCAGTAGCTGACAAACAGCTGTAGCTAGAAACCAAAGGACCATCAGTGACTGTGACAAATATGGGCGTGGCTCCCCACCCAGACTCAAATGGCTTTTAGACTTATTTTTCCTATCTCTGCCTCCACGGTGGGAAGATGAGGATAAAGCAGGCATAAGCATTAGTGCGCTGAATCTCTGTTCTGTTACATTTACTTATGTAGTCTTTTTTATTAATTGTCTGCAGAGGATATTCAGTGTCAGTAAAGTCTTCCTGGAGCCTGTGGGACAGGGTGCCTATTTCCAGTTAGGTCAGGGCTCCTCCTTTTTGCACCCATAAATAGCCTTATAGGAAAACTCAGTTTTTTTTTTTTTTTTTTTTAAAGATGACCGGTAAGGGGATCTCAACCCTTGACTTGGTGGTGTTAGCACCACGCTCAGCCAGTGAGCGAACCGGCCATCCCTATATAGGATCCAAACTTGTGGCCTTGGTGTTATCAGCACCACACTCCCCCAAGTGATCCACGGGCTGGCCCCTCATAAATAGCCTTTGATTACCTGCCTTAGTGTAACTGTTGCCTGGCTCTTTTTTTTTTTTTTTTTTTTTTTTTTTTTTTTTTTCCGTGTCCGGCAACGGATCGCAACCCTCAGTGTTGCCCCCGTACCGGACCGGGGACCGGCAACGGGATTGCAACCCTCGGTGTTGCTCCCGCGCCTCGCTCAGCCAGCGAGCGGGAACCGGTCTGTATGTGGGATCCGAACCCTCGGGCAGGAGCGCCGCCACGCTTCCCAAGCGGCGCACTATCCAGTGCGCCACTGGGCCGGCCCTTGCCTGGCTCTTTTTATCACTAGACTGTGAGCAGTCCTTGAGGGCAGGGACTTTCTGTGTAGGTCTGATAACCCCGTACCCACCACAGAGTCTGGCCAGACTGGGTGCTCAGGAGGTGTTTTTGAATGAATGGAGTGAGGAACACTGGTGCTTGCTGTTCTCTCTGAGATGATTTATTGGATCTTCACCTTGTCCTGTAGGCAGTGGCTGCCCAGAACCAAGCTGGTTCCTCTGGGTGTGAACCAGGACCTAGACAAGGAGAAGATGCTGGAAGGCCGCAAGTCCAACATCCGCAAGTCAGTACAGATCGCCTATCACAGGGCTCTGCAGCACCGCAGCAAGGTGCAAGGCGAGCAGAGCAGTGAGACCAGCGATAGTGACTGATACTGCCCAGCATAGCCCAACCTACAGTGCCCTGTGACCTCTCTCCCCTTTGCTCACTGTCCTGGAGTGGCACCGGCCTCTGCACTGACTCATTCCTGGTCTTGGGGCCAGTCTCAGGGGAAGCTGGGTGGGGGAGGTCCCTCCTGCCCTGAGTGCAGCTGGACTGTACAGAACACTCCAAGGGCCCACGGCGGCTCAGCGCAAGGAGAGCAAAGGTTCCACAAGTCAGAAAGAGCTCCAGAGACCTCATGGCATTGTAGGGCAGGGTGGTAGGCCAAGGTTAGGACACTGCATAAAAACAGGCCATCCCACCACCTCTGCCTGCTCATGCCAGGAGAATCTGTAACTACCTAGAGGCCTGAGGCCCCTGAAGGTGGTGAGATGAGTGGGTATCTGCCCAGCCTAGCAGTGGAATTGATGTCTGTCCAGCCCGGAAGAGGGACACTAGGTGACCCCCTCCCCTGCTGTTGTAAATACTGTAATTATCAGAGAATTTAAATTATTCTCATTTGTAACTGCGTTTCCGGGTCGCGCCAGAGTCATTTGGTACTAAAAAAAGACTGGGGCCTGTCCCCATTTCCTTCTCTTTCCCATAGATTCTCCCCACCTTTCAAACTGGTTTGTATTTATTTCAAAGGAAGAAAATATATTGATTCTTAGAAAATAAACAGTCTGTTGCCTTCTGCATCCCAGGGATGGTATATAATTGGACCCAAGTGGTTGCTGACTGTTGTGCATGCTTGTATTTATAAGACAACAGCAAAGATAATATGAGAGCTCCCATTTCCATGCACTTAGTGAGTGCCAACCCCTGTGCTAATCCTTGCAGTAACCATGAGGTGGGTCAATAATAGGCTGGTTATCTCCGTGCTGAGGTTTAGAAAAATTAACTTGCCTAAGTTCCCACAGCTAGGAAGTCGCAGAGCTAGAATTTGAACTCAGGTCTGTTTGTCTGCAAAGCTGGCTGGCTCTTCAACTGGTATGGTGAACTGCCAGAGGGACAGTCAACTGCCCTTTCCTTGGTGGGCTTCAGAGGCTTCAAGTCATTTGACAGTAGTATGGCCCCATGTGCTTCAGAGTCACTACAGCTGAGACCTTCCCCTCTGCTTAACGGAGGACACGGCAGGGATATAGAAGGTTGCTCTTTATTCATCCCCAAGTTTGGCACCTTCTTTTCCGATTCAATCAACATTTTTTTTTTGCTTTAATATATACATTTTTAAATTTATCAATATACAATGTAGTTGATTTTCATGTCCCTTTACCAATTCCTCTTTCCCCCTCCCTCTCCCCCTCCCCCCCAACCAACATTTGTTGAAGGAGTGCCTTCCAAGCACTAGGCACCTATGGGGTGGCATGCCTGTAGATGAGAGAGACAATCACAGGAAGAAGTAGCTGCCCGAAACCTTGCAGCCACTGAGGAGTGGAACTGAGACAAAGACCACATTTGTCTGATGTCGAAACCGTGTTCATGGTGCACCCTGCTACGTGGGACACAAAAATAAATCAGCTGCAGCTTTTGCCCTTCGAGAACTTGCAGTCTAGGGCTGTCCATTTAGCTCAGCTGGTTAGAGCATGATGTTATAACACCAAGGTCTAACGTCAAGGTTCGGATTGAGAAAAAAAAAAAAAAAACTTGCAGTCTAATCATTCAGATAGAATTAAAAATCATTATGCTAGAAGGTGAAAAATGGCCCAGATGAAGTCACATCTCCTAGCTCATTGCTTTGTCATGTCTTCCTCCAGAAGGGAAGAAATTACATAATAACACCTTTCCTGGGTCCAGACGGCTGCCTCAGGGCCACACATTTGTCTTTTGTTTTTGTTTTTCCCATATAAAGATGACCGGTAAGGGGATCTTAACCCTTGACTTGGTGTTGTCAGCACCACGCTCACCCAGTGAGCGAACCGGCCATCCCTATATGGGATCCGAACCCGTGGCCTTGGTGTTATCAGCACCGCACTCTCCCGAGTGAGCCACAGGCCGGCCCCAGGGCCACACATTTGTACTTGGACTCAGCTTAATGAGCCGCCTCTCTGGGCTTCTAGGCCCAGCCTCAGAGAAAGCCCCTAGGCAGGCTCCGTTTGGCGTAGGGTCTCAGCTGCTGGCGTATTGTTGCAGGAGTGCCCAAGGCTGAAGGGAGCAGCTGTGGCCCAGGCGGGGCACTGCCGAGCGGACAGGTCTCCGAAGAACAGGCCTTTCAGGCCTGAGACTGCGGGGTCGGAGGCCCAGTGAGGACTTGGAAGAGACAAGGTTTATCGGGCCGGCGCTGAAGACAGAATCCTCCGAAGACACACGTTGTGTTGTCACTTCACGGGGGCTCGGCGGGGCCGGAGCTGTGTTCGCGTCCGATTTCTGGTGAAGGGCGGGGGAATACGAGATTCTGAAGAGACTCAGAGGAGAAAGGCTCCGTCAGGACGGGCTGGGGAAGGACTTGGTTCTGAGGACAGACAAGCCCCGAGGAGTCGAAGGGATCTGAGCAGATCAGGCAGGAGGATGTGGACTAAAGTCGCGCCGGGGTAGGATACCCTAGCGTGCCAAGCGCAGACAATCCCGGAGGGAAAAGGCCAATAGCGGGCGGCGAGCCCAGAGCGCGCCAACCGCTTCGGCGCCTCGCAAAGCCCCGCCTCCCACCGCCACGCCCGCTTTCTCATTGGTCCCTCTCATTTCCTCCTCGGATTGGCTGTCTCTGAGTCAAATAACCAGCGCTTGAGCCCTACTTCCGGCGATAGTGAGGTCGGCCCCTGGAGAAACCGGAAGAACACGCGCGAGAAAGCTACCAGAAGTCTCCGCAGCTCCGGGGACAGCCGTGCGCGCCCGGAAGGTCTGGGGGCGGTAGAGTATGTCAGGGGGAGGGGGCGGGACCTGCACCGCAGGAAAGCAGGAGGATTGGGGCAGGCGGTGGGGAGAGGGTGGGAGGGACGGGAGTCTGGTGAACTGCAAAAGGCGGAGCCTGCAGGGAGTGGAAAAATTAAATAAAATGGGGCGGGGCCTTAGGCAGAGGACAGACCCAGTGGGCAAGGCCTCAAGGGGCGTGGTCTTTGTGCGGGCAGGATCTTGGGCGCCGAGTAGATCCGGTTCTGAGTGGGCGGGGCCATTACGGGGCGGAGCGAGGAGCGGCAATGCTAGCACGCGTCCTTCTGCCCGGTGGCATGGGGCATCGTACTTTAGCATCCACACCGGCCCTGTGGGCATCTATTCCGTGTCCACGCTCTGAGCTGCGCCTGGACCTGGTTCTGGCTTCTGGACAGTCCTTCCGGTGAGTGACAGAGCCTGGAGGCCCCTTCCTTGGGGCCCTTTCCTGACTCCTCAGCACTGCCGGCCTGGGTGCAAAGAAATGTTGAGGGTGATGAGAGAAACCTCAGGGTACAAAAGAGAAAACAGGCGTGGGTGGTGAGCCTTTATAAAGTAGAGATAATGTCTGTGCAATGTTGTCGTGAGGATCAAACGATATAACTGATGTAAAAGGTAGAACTTTTACTTTGCAACTGAGTAAGTCAGTTGGTAAATGGAGCTGTTGTTGGTGGGAGGGACCTCAAAGGGTGCAGGAAGGGAAACTGAGTGCTAGGGCTGTTGTGTACCTGGGGACCTAGGTGGAGGGAGCAAAGCCCTGCACATTGGAGTGGTGTACTGGCGGACCAAGTATGGACACTGACTCAGACTGAGGAACAGCTCTACTGCACTGTGTACAGAGGGGACAAAGGATGGGTTGGCAGGCCCACACTTGCTGAGCTGGAGGCCGTGCGAAAGTACTTCCAGCTAGATGTCAACCTGGCTCAGCTGTATCACCATTGGGGTTCCATGGACTCTCACTTCCAAGAGGTGGCTCAGAAATTCCAAGGTGAGTACAGAGCCTGGGGCAGGGTTTAGGGTTCTTGTACATTGCTTAAGTTACTTCTCTGTGACTCAATTTAACCATTTGTAAAATGGGAATTATATCTACTTCATAGGCTTTTATGAGGATTAAAGGAGCTAATACATGTAAAGTGCTGAGAGTCGTGCCCAGCACAAGTAATTATTATTACTGTTATTATCCTGCTGATCACTATAGTGAAGTGACAAGGATATTGAGCTCAATCCTGGTTGTGTGACCTGGGGCAGGTGATTTCATTCATTCTGCAAATATATACAGAGCAGCTGCTGTATGACTGGGGATACAGCAATGAACAAAATAGACACAAGTACCAGCCAGCCGCCCCCACCTCCGCTGAAATGTACACAAATCTCCGCCCTATAGTGCTTACATTGTGGCTTCTTTATCCGTGGGATGGAATGGTAACCCAGACCTCACAAGATGCTCTGGGGTGTGAGAGGTCCAGTATTGCTTTGTGTAAAAATGCTGTTCCTCATTCTCCTGGGATCCCCCTGGCTGAGGGTGGGAGGAGGCCACTTCTGACAGCAGATGCTTGTCCTGCCCCCTGCCTTTCTGGTCCCCAGGTGTGCGACTGCTGCGACAAGACCCCATCGAATGCCTTTTTTCCTTCATCTGCTCCTCCAACAACAACATCCCCCGCATTACCGGCATGGTGGATCGGCTGTGCCAGGCCTTTGGGCCTCAGCTCATCCAGCTCGATGATGTCACCTACCATGGCTTCCCCAGCCTGCAGGCCCTGGCTGGTGAGTAGGTGGGTCCCCTGCCCCCAAGCCCTTTCTCAGCTTTCAGGATCTGTTTAGTTCTCCCCCAGTCACTATATCCCATCTCAAAGCTTTCTGCTTTCCCAAACGCTGCCCTCATGCACAACCGCCCTGCCTTCTCTGATCAGCCCCAGTTATGCCTCATCCTCTCTATCCATCCTTGAAAGGGCAGCACCTCACTAGTCTGTGCTTTTTGCCCAGTGTACCATCAGAAAAAAAAAACCTGTGTACAATAGTTTGGGGTTCAATATGCATTCCAGAGACAGATTGCCTGGGTTTGAATCCCAGCTCTCTCACTTGGGCACATTACTTATCTCTGTGCTTGTTTTTTCATCTGTGAAATGGGTTAATAATAGCACCTCCTATCAGAGTTATCATGAGGGTTGAATAAGTACACATACCACACTTAGCACAGTGCTTGGCACACAGGAAGAATGCAGAAAATTCAAGCTGTTATTGCTGTAGCAAACCCAACAATTTTGCATCCAAGCCAACATGTTCTTCACAGTAGCCCCTAGGCAAGTATTTTATAGAGGCAAGTATATCATTTGGGAGATGTGAGAGCCAAGCTAGGGGAAGTGCTTGGGGACTGCATAGCAAAGAGAGCCTGCCTCAAGAAAAAATGTTTTTGGTGTTTAGAAACCTGGTCTTGAGTCTCAGCTCTCAGCTTAGCAGTCATAAGACGTCAAGGAATTCATTCATCTCTCCCAACTTCTCTTAAATTGTTTGTAGAATGGGAATAACAATTTATATCTAGAAGGGTTTTGGGGTAAATAAAGCAATCATGAGGCAGTGTAGTGTAATGGGTTAAGAGCACAGGTGTTGATGTGCCAGACCTGGGTGCAAGATCCCATCTCCACCATGTCCTTTTTTGAGCAAGTTACCTAACCTCTTCTAAGCCCTCATTTTCTCCATCTGTAAAATGGGGAAAACAACAATACTGTCATCAGGGTCCTTGAGAAAAATAAGCATGATAATGTAACTAAAGCACTTCACCTGAGTGTGATACCCAGCACTTGATAATAGAAGCTGTTGTAATTATCATGACAATTTTTTTAGATCACAGGTGTGAATGCTCTTTGGAAAGGTTAAGGAGCTCAATTGGGGAGCTCCTACAAGACAGCAAGTCCTTCTCAGTCCCTGGACTGGAGTTGGGCTCCAGTGCCCAACAAATAGTAGGTGTTCAGAAAACATTTGTAGGCTGGCTGATTAGCTCAGCTGGTTACAGCACAGCCTTGTAACACCGAGGTCAAGGGTTCAGATCCCCATGCCGGCCAGCTGCCAAAAAAAAAAATTTTTGTAGAGGGGAGAGGGGAAGAACCCAGGCTTTCCAGGTTATAGCCCTTTCCTTTGCACATAAAGTGTCCACTGTCTCCTAGAAGGTGGTGAGATGGGAGGGACTACTTTTAAGAAAAACATTCCTGTGGAGTACAGGACTCACACACTAGCCTGAGGACAGGACAGGAAGCACTTGAAGATGCCTGACCACTGCTCTCCTCCCCATTCCCCCACAGGGCCAGAGGTAGAGGCTCACCTCAGGAAGCTGGGCCTGGGGTACCGTGCCCGCTACGTGAGTGCCAGTGCCCAAGCCATTCTAGAACAGGGTGGGATGGCCTGGCTGCAGCAGCTGCGAGAGACCCCCTATGAGGAAGCCCACAAGGCCCTCTGTGCCCTGCCTGGGGTGGGCACCAAGGTGAGGCCCCAGGGGGTTAAGAGCTGCCTTCTCCACCGACACTGAGAGTAGGAGAGGAGAATACAAGGCAGGCCTGAGAGCTGGGTGGAAGCCTGGCTTCTGGAGGTATAGCAGGAAGGTGAAAGGATATAAGCAGATGTTTTATTAGAGAAAAAAGCAGAGTGCAGACAGAGTGTAAAGGACAGTGTCTTTTGAATGAATTTTTTGAAAGGCCATTTGTTCCTGTACATATATATGCTATACATATGCAGAAATTCCCAGAAGGTTACTTGAAGTTGATACGACAAGCAAACAGAAAGGACATTGTTGGGTGGGAGGGAGGAGAGGAAGGAGGGAGGGAGATTTTGGTAAGGGGCAACAATAATCAACCACAATGTATATCGACAAAATAAAACTTTTTTTTTTTTTTTCCCTTTTTGTCTTTTTTCGTGACCGGTAACGGGATCGCAACCCTCGGTGTCGCACCCGCACCGTGCTCAACCAGTGAGCGGACGGGTCTCTATATGGGATCCGAACCCTCGGTGCGAGCGCCACCGCACTCCCAAGCTGTGCACTGTAGCAGTGCGCCACCGGGCCAGTTGTGCTTTTTTTTTTAAACACATATTTA